ACATCGGACTTTTCTGAAACAACCACTAAGTTGAATTGGGCGCATATATATATATATCGGACAATGAATATATAGGAAATAGTTATTTAAATAAAATATATATATATATTTAACTAGTGAATTTGGCAATTTACAAAATTGAAAATTACTCTGAAAGGACAAATATCATAAATTATATATGCGTGTAAAAGATTTCACACAATTCAACAAATTCTGTAATTTGAAGGTAACCCTGGTTAAACTAATCGAAAAAAAATGATCGGATATACAAAATATAATGTTAATATATATTTCTTTTCTCAGTTATATATATATATATATATATATATATATATATATATATATATATATATATATATATATAAGCATTCATATATATATATATATAAGGATCTGGTGAAACCTAGGTTGGTAGTTTCTGGCCACTAGGATTATATATATATATATATATATATATATATATATATATATATATATATATATATATATATATATATAATATATATATTTTATATATATATATATATATATATATATATATATATATAAATATATATATATATATATATATATATATATATATAAAATATATATATATGTATATATAACTATCAAAAAAAAAAAAAAAAGAACTTGCAAAAAAAAAAAAAAAATAGAACTCAAAAAAGTAAACTCGGTTGTATGCCGAAACAAACCGCAACTGTCGAAAGAAAAGATGAAACAGTCAAAAAGAGGAAAGGTAAAGACTGAATTTAAAGTGAAAAAAATCGAAGAAAGGAATAAATGATCACAACTCTTTACAAAGTTTGGCATCTACACAGACGGTCGAAAATTACACACGGCCACAAAATATACGGAAAAAACTTACTTCAACTAAAGTGTCAAGTAAGTGTCTAAAAAAGAAAAAAAATCAAAAAATTTGAGCAATATATCGTTGATACCTCGTCAAGAGTAGATGGACATTGGACAGGTCTGCCTACGAAACTCTGGAGTCGCGAGGCTGTAGGTATCTCGTAATAACGTTCGGTTGCCGACCATGAGATTCGGTTTGGGATGGTAACATTTTCATTTTTTCTACCTAGGGTAGGTGATCCCACTGCGCAGCACCGTTCTGAAATGCCTGAAAATCACACCGTATGTGTGATATCGGACAGACCAAACTGTTTATCTTGACCCACTGGTTTGGTTTAAACTATAATTCAGAGTTGTTCAGGGATCAAGTTTGGAGATGATAACAGGAACGGTGTTATATGTATATCCCAAAGTACAATCTCAGATCTAATGTCCCAGTATGAGAAACCCAAAACAAAATTTTTACCATTTGAATCAGTGCATATATTTTTAGCTTAAGAACGAGGCACTACGGTAACACATCATTATCTGTTTTTTTTTTGTATGCTCTTCTGTACACTAGGGCATTTTGTATGTATAGGAAGCGTGGATGGTGTAAAGTTTTTCGTCCCTTATCTCAACTATTTACCCTATATGTGGGGTTAAATAGAAGGGCAAACTGTCTGCTGAACTCGGAGAAGGACTATTGCGAAATGAAAGCAAACGACGGGAAACCTCCCCACTTGCTGCTTGAAGAAGAAATGACAAATATTTAGAAAGATCCAAGATCTTCAATCAACTGAAAGGGCAGAGCATAATATAATTCCATAGGATGTGCGTATAATGTAATATTTGCCGGAGCAGAAAATGGATTCGGTGAGCCAAGTTCAATTTCCTGCTAAGCCAATTTGGTATTAACATACATAGGGTAAAAATGAATCTACTTTTTTTTACCTGTGAATTAAATAACAGGTTTACCTGAGGTTCCTTTCGTTACGTGACAATCAGTCTAGGAAAAACTAAATTAAACTTAATTCAAAATTCTGGAGAAGAAAAAAAATGAAACCAGTCCACTATTTTTCGCAAGAAATCAACGTTGTTAATACATCAGACAATGAAGATAAAGATGTGGAGAGCCTTGAATTATTATATCCTGAAAGCATATATATATATATATATATATATATATATATATATATATATATATATATATATATATATATATATATATATATATATATATATGTGTGGGGGGGTGAGGAGAGTCTGGCCATGCATTTGCAGCTCTCCTAGTGCAGTCTGCTCTGCGTTTTTTGAAATCGATTTTCTACGCTAATTGGCAGGATTAAATCAATTTTATTCGCTTGCCAATTGTCAGTTCCGAAATTTCTTTAAAAAGTCAGACATAAAAAGACAAAAAAGAAAACAGAAAAAAAATCCTGGAAGTATAAAGAAAATAAAAAAAAACAGCTTAAATGAAAAGTGAAATGAATCTTAAAAGATTGAATTCAATTTTATTTGTCATGGTAAATCCGAATTGGTCTTTCTCACTCTCTCTCACGTCAGGTGGATAGACGAGCGAGGAAGTGAGTAATGTAAAGAAGTGAGCGTGTCTGGTGGTAGACAGAGCGAGGATAATAGAAACAATTCCGTAAAAGCACTTTCTCTCTATCGATCGATTTCAATCAGAACTGACAAATGTCTCTCTTATTCTTTCTCTCTCTCTCACTCTCTCTCTATATATATATGTATGCACACACACACACATATATATATATATATATATATATGTGTGTGTACTGCTATACATCTCAGACTAAATTGTTTTTATCTATCTATCTATCTATCTATCTATCTATCTATCTATCTATCTATCTATCTATCTATCTATCTCAGTCTGTTCATATTATCTCTATCTACAGATCCTACCTCTATTTTCCTTTCCTTGATATTCCGTATGTCCACATACACACGCATCCATACTCTCATACACACAGTCTCTCTGCCTCTCCCTCTCCCTTTTCTCTCTTTCTCTCTCTCTCTCACACACACACACACACACACATATATATATATATATATATATATATATATATATATATATATATATATATCGGTATTCTTCGGTATTCTTCAACCATTGCCAAAGAACGTTTGTATTTTGTATGATATCAATTTCATGTCTTCTCAAATATTGCTTCTTTACGTGTTATGTATTTCTCTTTTACATTTCACCGTATTCAAATATTTAAGAAAAAACTATAGTCGACCTTTAAGCAAATCTTAAAAAAAAAATGAATCTTTATAAATGCGTTTGATATAAGACGTATTGTGTGCGCGGTATCGGAGGGTAATTGTGTTTGTCTAGTGTGGGATTTATTTTCATTTTTTTTAACGGATTCTTGACGTTTATTGAATCTTTGTGTCTGTACCAACACACCCGTCAGACCCATTATGACCGACATCAATATTTCTCATCCTCGACACACACAACACACACACACACACATGTATATATATATAGGTCTCTCTCGTCCTTTTAAACGTATGAGGTTCAAGTAGCTTTGTTTTTACAATTAACAGTCTGCCTACGCGCTCATATCATTTGGCTATAATGATGAAGGCTTGTATAGAACCGACCAGACTTTTTGGAAGATCCGAATACAGTGACCTGGTGCACACCATGCCATATGATCCCCAAAGGTATTTCCGCAGGTTGTGAATTCACAGTTGTCCTTCTAGACCTTTCGCCACCCAAGGCTACAGGACGCATTCTGAAGCGAGTGAAGAGATAGATTCATATCTTTCTTAATAGTATTAGCACGTAAATAAATTGAATTATTATAATCTATTCGATTCTATCCAAAAACATTTTTAACATTTAAATTTTAAAAACATTTCTATTTTAAAACATTGTTGCTATACTCATAACTAAACTTACTTAGTGTTAGTTGCTTCCTCCATATAAAGAGATCCTCGAGAATTTGAAATTTTTCTTTTTTTTTATTTTCAATGTGTAGTATACTAGTGCGATCAAAAAGTAATTTTTCTGTATTTTGAAGGTGGTCAGGAATGTGTCTTTAAAATTCGTGCGATAGGACTTGTATCAAAGATATAGAGTGAAATCAATCTTGATAATCCTGTTGCCGTGAAAACAAAATATAAAAGAATCGCCATAGCTTTAACAGTAAATTTGAAAATTATTATAACAAAGTGCATTCAAGCATGTCCACCCACCCTACTACCACCACAACCAAAAAATTCACAACAATTCGTTAGGTTAATTTTCTGTCAGAAGATGATCACAGAGAAGATTGAAAGCACTTGTGAAAATAAAAATGAAAATAAAAAAAAGATGAAAAAACTTAATGAATTTAATATCAACATTAAGAATTCAATAAGAGATTACGAGAGAATCAGAATAGAAATAAACAGACATAATATCTCCGGATTATTTAGCTAACCATGAATGATATGAATATATATATATATATATATATATATATATATATATATATATATATATATATATATATATATATTGTCATACACAGACAGACTGTTTCACAGCTCATCAGTGTGACTTGACGTCCTGTTCCTAGTAGCTAGGAAACCAAGCTGAATTGGCGTCAGTCGGAGAATCTACCTCTAAACCGCATTGAAGGGGTTAAATTATTTATTTTTAAACACGCCAGTTACTGAGAGAATTGGTTTCGTTTTATCGAAGAGTATTGCATTAGTCGAAGTAAAAGTCACTGTTTATATACTCAGAGAGCTCAACCGAAATAATTTTCAGGGGCATATATATATATATATATATATATATATATATATATATATCAGATGACCTGTCGTTAGTGTTCATTTTTGAAACAAACTTTGTCTCCTGGTGTTGACCACAGTGTGTGTGTGTGTGTGTGTGTGTGTGTGTGTGTGTGCGCGCGCGCTTGTGTGTGTATATATAGATAGATAGATAAAATTAAAAGTTATATGCAAAGCAGTCAAGCATTGTGTTAAAATTTTATTTATCCTTCTAGGAATATCGTATTATTCATGTCTTATTCATGCCTCCAGACTAACTTCTGGTCTCTTCTAGTCTGTTACTTAAAATGCCTATTGTTCTTTGTCGTGTGACGCAATAATATAAAAATCGGGTGAAAACAATTCTT